CTCCCAGTCTCTTCAGGTTGGTGATGTGATCTCCCAGCTTCTTGATCATCTTCACTTGCTCATCCAAGTAGTGCCTCTCCAGGAAGTCACACAGCTTTAGGGAAACAAAAGAGAGTAGTCAGTTCAGAGAGACATGATTGGATTAGTCTTTCCTGGTGTTTCTATTATTTATGGATGTCTACAGCAGCTGGCTATCTCCAAGAACAGGCTGGAAACTGCCTCCTCAGCTACAAGTATTACAGAAGGCAGAGCAAACTGCACACACGTGCCAAGCTAATCCATTTAACTGGAAACAAACCCCATGACAATTTATACCCCAGGTACCTCAACATCAGTAGCAAATCAGATTGATCACCGAGCCAAGTGACACAAGTGGTGTTTGCTCCAAAACACAACCTTACGTGGACCTTGGCCAATATGCAGTGCAGGGCAGATTCCAGTATCACTGTCAATGATGAAGGTTCGTCAGGAACTCGCGTGAGGGTCCGTGTTGCCAGAGGCGACTTTGTGCAGATCCAGCAGACTCTGGTTCACATCCTTCTCCATCTGCAGAGCTCTCTGCATTGCCTCCAGACCATTACTCCACTCATCCTGCTCTGGCTTCTGGAGGGAGGGAAGAGGCAGATGCTTCACTCATGTGAAAAAAAATGAAGGGAAGTTCAATGCAATGAGATGGAAATGTAACTAGGAACTAGCGTGCCATATAGCATTGTGGCATTACCCTAGCAGAATTCAAGCTTCAAATCCATGTCTGGTTCAGGTACTTGTATGTAGGATGATACACCAACCTTGATGTCCTGCAGGAGGACTCGGCCTCCACGTTTATTCTGGAATGCCATCAGTTTCTCAGAGTGTTCCTGTTCCTCGTGGGACTGCTCCTTGAAGAGCTCAGCAAAGTGACGCAGGGCAACATCATCCCGGTCAAAGTAAAAGGACTGTGGGAGAAGAAGAGAAAGTGGCAGAGTCAGGCAAGGCCTAGACCTCATCTAATCAGAACTTCAAGAGCCTGTGTAGTTTTTCATCTTTGACAAGGAAAGAAGTGTACACATCCTGAATGTCTAGACAATATAGGAACATATTGTGCTGCGTGTCCAGTTCAGGGCTAGAAATCTGAGTTTAAGAATATCTTGGTTGTTTATGACTGACAAGCTTCAATTGATTTTGCAACTCAATCCAAGATTAGGAGGTTGTTGTTGAATAATTAAAGAAGTGGATATTGTGAGGGAGAGTTACTGGTTAGCTGGAAGAATATTGTAGAATGCAAACCAAATGACCGTGATCTTACTAAGAGTAGTGAGCATGTCTACAGGGGGTCATGTGTTCTCTGTCAATTCATGTGACCAACAGAGATCACATCTCCCTGGAGAGGTCTTCTCCAGCTTTGACACCCATTTTAGTATGGGCAATGTGATCACAACTCGTCAGACCCACATGCATTTGAGTGGGAGCTAATGAGTTGCAACTTGCACCAAACACCTCAATAGGCACTACTTCCCCAGAATCTCATGAGGAGAGTGAAGATTCCAACACATTTCAGAAACTCCTGCTTGAATAAGGAGCCTGGATTTATTTCCGTACTCAACCCAAGTGATGTAATCAGAGACCCTTTCACCAAAAGCCCTAAAATTAATGATCTATTATCAGTTGAG